CCCCCCCCCCCCGCCACACACACACACACACACACACTCTGCTTTGTGACCTCACCGCCCCTGGGTGTGGTCTCCGCACAGCCTCTGCCTGGGGTTCAGACGGAAGGCAGGATGCATATTTGTTTCCCCAGCTGGTTCTCCCCTCCAAGGTGCAGAAACCTTTCCCCTCCCTCCCTCCATTAAGACAACAGCACCCAGTGAGGACTGCAGCAAATCTGGGGGTAGCAATCAGGAGCCCCTGATGGGAGGAAGGCTCTGCCGAGATAGCATTCTGGACGGGACTCAGCGTGGCCAGCGTTTCTCAGGAGGCAGAGTGGGCGGAGTCTGGGTTGTGGAGTTTGTATCTGGGTTCAGGTCCAACTTCCACCACTTGTGAGCTGGGGCCCCGGACGAGTCCCTCAGCCCTAGGGTGCTGTAACCTTGGGTGTCCCACGGGAATGACAATACCCATCCCACAGGGGTGCGGTGAGGCAGTACGCATAAGGTCCTCAAAACGGTGCAGGCGAGATGCGCATTCATCATTCGCATTAGTGCTGCTTGGAGAGGCAGGGTACGTTTCACTTTGCAGATAGGAACCTAGGCCTTAGAATCAGGCCTTCACCTGCATCTGGGGCAGCCACCTCCTAGCGACGTGGCCTCGCGGAAGGTACTTTCACCTTTTGGAGTTTCACTTTCCAAATCTGTAAACCGGGGGGGGGTTAGTGCCGGTCCCCACCTCCCCGGGTCGTTACAGGAGTAAACGAGGTAATCCATTCAGCAGGCAAAACATTCAGCAAGGCAGGGTTCCTTACCAGGACGCCAGGCTCACAGGGGACGTCCAGCAGGCTCATTAACTTCCCTGTTCTCTGGACTGTATTTCACCGGATCCTACATGCATTTTCCCCTCACGTTTTAACATCTTTGAATTCAGGATGAGCCTTGAAATCAATAGCATCTTAACGTTACGATTTGTTCAGTTTTCCCAGCAGCATTTGTTGAAGAGACTGTCTTTTCCCACTGTATATTCTTGCCTCCTTTGTCACAGATCAGTTGATCAGAGATCAATATAAGTGTAGGCTTATTTCTGGGCTATTCCATTCTATTGATCTGTGCGTCTGTTTTTTTGTGCCGGCACCATACTGTTTTGACTACTGCAGCTTGGTGGTATATCTTGAAATCTGGGACGGTGATACCTCCAGCTTTGTTCTTCTTTCTCGAGATGCTTTGGTTGTCTTGGGAACTTTTGTCAAAAAATAATAATTTGCGGCATTCTTTTTCTCTCATAGCGACACACAAAATGCTGTTGTGTCAGAGTCACTGCAATATATCTGCACCGTATGTATACCACCATTTGCAATATGCATACGTACATACATACAATTTACAGATTTGGCGCGCGAGGGTCTGAACGGTTAAAGCCCCTTACATAAGACCACTCTAAAACACTCCTAGAAAGTATAAAAGTCGTTTTACTTTGATACAAAATCATGTAAAGTCACGTGAAGCAAAATCGAATATTCACTACATATCCATGAAATCACTGGAATGTCATTACCATTTTCTCCTGCGTTCCCTCCTCCCCTCTCCCTGTGGGCTCATGCATTTTTACTGCTGCCACACGGTAGAGACGAGGGTCACCTGGGGACCAGACAAGTGGAAGGCGCATGCGCACGCTGGAGGCCCCCCCCACAGCGAGGCGGAATGGAGCAGGAATTGGGTCTTGTTTTGCTTTCCTTCTCCTGCCTTGCCCAGGCCAAGCGCCCAGGGGTGTCCAGTTCTGCAGCCTGGCAGACAGTGAGCATGAGAGCGCCTCCCCTCCTTCCTCCTTGGTGGCTTTCAGGGGAAACAAATGAGCGATGACGGTGCATATATGTGGCACCGAGAGATGTGTCTGGGAGTCTTGGCGCGTTGCCTTGTTGAGTCCGAGACCCTCTGCCTTAGTCGTGGCCTTAGAGCTGTGTCTACTTCCCTGATCGGAAAAAGAACCTGTGTGAAGAGAGGGAGGGGTCAAGGGCACACAGAGAATGAGACGAGGGGTGCAGAACCCCGAAGGATCTGTAAGAGGCTCTTGCGGGCCACGGACTCACTAGGGGCAGACGCTGTCTAGGGCTTTCCTTCCGTCAGCTCACTTCACACTCAAAACAGCTTGATGAGCTACGTACCATCAATGTCCCCATTTTATAGATTAGCACACCGAGGCCCTGCAAGGTTCAGCAACAGGCCCAAGGTCACACGGTAAGTTGCGGAACCAGGAGTTGGAGGACCCGGAGCCCACTCAACCCCTGTGCTGTGCCGAAAGATGGTGTCCGACACCTTTTTCAATTTCAGGAGGTTTATCGTGGAGGAAGCATGCGCGCGACCTCCAATTATAAGACGGATCTTTGCAATGAATAAAGATCGGCATGTAAATTCTCAGATGGAACACAGAGATACCCCCGAGACACGAATACCAAGCGTTCAGTGTCTCCCCCCTCATATGCAAAGCTTTGAAAAGGAAGCCTGCTGTCTGGGGGTTGAGTGCAACGCTCAGTCTCAGCGCTTGCTAGGCTCAGCTATGAGAGAGACCCAGAGCTGGCTGGTGGGTTGGAAAGGCAGTGACAGGAATGCGGCCTCGTGCTTCTTGTCAAAGATAAACCCCTTGAGGACCGTGAGCCGCTCTGCTAGCGATGGCCGGGGCAGGCCCTGGACACGTGTTCGGATACAGGCGTTAGGGCTCAGCCTCTCTCCCCTGAACCTGGACGCGCTGCCCACCCCCACCGGTACCCAGTCTCAGGAAGTGACACCATCCCCCGCCTCGTCATTCACGCCCGGGAACCTGGGAGTTGTTCTCAGCTCCTCCCCCCCATCTGCTACATGTTAGTCACCATGCCCCAAATATGTTCCTAATCCCAACACTTCTCAGCTCCTCCACTGCCACCCCCCAGTCCAACAGCCTTCCCGCCACCCCCTAGAACATACTCACGCGGCAGCCAGAGTGACCGTGTCACTATACAGAGCTAAGTCATTCTGCAGCTGAAACCTTTCCATGGCTCCCCATTGTTCTCAGGATAAAGACAAACGTCCTTCTTAGCATGACCTACTTCCTCAGAAGTCATTCATTCATTCATTCGTTCGTTCATTCAATGAGCTGGTCTGACCACGAAATTGTGGCCTCGTGCTCATTAGACATATGACCTCAGGCTGGCTTTTTTTTTTTTTTTTTTTTTTTTTTTTCCATATCAGGCTCAAACTCTCTAAGGGGCCCAAAGAACTCTCCTAGAAGAGGCACAAAGAAACCAGCAGTTTATGCCTCCTGGAAGCCTTATCTACATGGGCTGTCCAGACAATAAAAGTGCTAAAAGAACACCTTCAGAAATGACACCTAGTGTGGAATGGAGGTGCTCTTTCATTTTACTACTTTGCCTCAGGAGAGGCTTCCTTGGGAAAGAAACACGCCCCAGGCCCTGCTTTGACTCTGCCCCCACACCTCCTCCATAAGGCAGCCAGATGAGCTTTTACAGGTAAATGTGGTCCAGTTGTCCCCCTGCTTAAAACCCTCCATGTCTTAGCGAAGTTCTCAGAGTGAAATTCAAACTGCTTAGTGGGACCCTCGCCATCCCCCCACCCCCACCCCCGCCACCACCACCACTAATCTCCAGCCTCCCCTCCATTCACCTCCTGCCTCGCCTTTATGCATGCTGTTCCCTCTGCCAAGAATGCTTTTCTCTCAGTCTTCATGGTCTTTCAGGGCCCAGTTTGAATGTCACCTCCTCACGAAAGCCTTCCAGGACTCCCCAAAGTGTAACCCCGCTCATGTCTGTAAGATGTCCCTTCTTTAAATCTTTTCAGTCACCCCTTTAACGTGTGCGATTTGTTTCTTGCCAGGACCCTGGCAAATGTCCCCCCCCCTCCCCCGCCATCACTCATCAACATTAAGTGCCTGGCCCCCATAGGCATTTGAGTTTGAGATCCCTGACTGAGGCTGTTTCTCAGTTTCTGTCCAAGAGATCAGGGGCAGGTAACTGTCTCCAGGCCAGACATTCCCAGGACAGCCAAGGCAAACGGGCTGTTTGCTTCATGGAGGGGTGGGAGAAAGCCGTGCGTCGTTGTACCGGCACCTGGTGACCGAGAAGGCACCTCTCGAGGTGTGGTCCAAGGGTTCTCCACATCAGAGCTGCCTAGGGGATTTATTAGAAATCCAGACTTCTGGGCTTCATCCTAGACTTGACTTCTGAGAATCTGAATTTTAAACAAGTACCACACACACTATGGTTTGAGGCTTAGCACCCGGAGAAATGACGGATTAACAAGGGAGCATAAACATGAGGGGAGTATTCAAAGGAAAATACATTATGTGGCCCAATGCTGGGAGACACAGGGTCCTCCAAAGTTGGAAGAAAGAGAAGTAACGAATCAGGCCACCCTCCTTTTTTTAAGTAAACTCTGCACTCAACGTGGGGCTCGAACTCACATCCCCAAGATCAAGAGTTGCATGCTCTATCAACTAAGCCATCCAGGCACCCCGTGAGTCCCCCTTACACCCTAATAAGTATTATTTGTAGTATTATTATATCATAGGGAGGCAGCAGTGTAGAATCTGAACTTCCTTGGGTTCAAATCCTGACTTCGCTGTTTACTCTCTGTGTGACTTCAGGCAAATTACCTTATCTCTCTGTATCTATTTTACCACGTGCAGAATGGGGATAATGACAGTTCCTACCTCCTAAGGTCACTGTGAAAAGTCAATGAATTAATGTATGTTAAGTGCTTAGACTGCTGTCTAACAGATATTGTAATACTTCTCTGAATTTTCCTATCAGCTGTAGTACCACCAACAGGACAGCAGGGCCTCTCCACCCTGGGTAGCTGGCCAGCCTCCTCGGGCCCTCACTCCTTCCTTTGGCAATTATTCGGTGGCAATGGGGCAGCAGGGTAACTTACAACTTCCTTATGATGGTCTTCTCCTCCTTGTTACTTCTGGCATTGCTGGGCCTGGTGACAAGGGTATCTTTTTCTCTTCGTCCTCCTGAGCCTTCTCTTGGTGGAATCAGACCGCTGGGGAAAAGGGGCCAAATAAATGGGTTGTTTTATGGCAGACCTTCTGTCTGTGCAGCTCTGAAAGTGAAGGGTCTTAATAATTATTACATTAGTAATAACTGAAAGCTAGAGTCAGAGAGATTCTGTTTCCAGTCATGAGACTCTTCCTCCCATGTTTCCAATGCCGATCCCTCTTCTTTCTTTCTCTTGTCCAACTGCATTGGCTAGTACTTCAACCTTCTCCAGTCTCTAGGAATATGACCACATATCAATTCTGTAACTGAAGCCTTGATTTTCTAATCAATAAAGTGAGAATAACAAGAGTAACTGCCATCTAGGATTGAGTGATTAAGTGAGATATTACACAGCACCTGACAGTCACTCAACAAATATTTATTAAGCCACATCCTGTGCCAAAGCACTGTAGCAGTGAACAAAACAGACAAAGTTATCTCCTATCATGCAATTCATGTTCTTCCACTGGGGAAGGAAGGAGTCAATAAATAAATAAAGTAAAAAATATATAGTAAGTCAAATGGTAACAAGAGCTAAATTGATATTGACTGATAAGATATTGAGGTCGGTTGACTCAAAGAGGACCAGAGTATTTCCCTGGACCTGATGTACAGAAGCTGGAAGAAAGCTCTTCTCTCTCACTTGGTCAACTGGGGTCGCCAGCAGCCATGTTTCCTAAGATTCCTAGCAGGTGTGTCTACAACACAAGATAATGAGGCCAACAAACAAAGAGAAGCAAGGAGGAGAGAAAGAGGCACCAAGTCCCTGGCTCCAACCCTGAGGCCTTAACTGCAGTTTTTTCTTTATTTCTGAAGGCAATCCCAAGATCGTTTCCAACTCTGTGGGTCAGTAAATTCTCTTTTGTACTTAAGCTAGTTTGAATTGGATTTCTGTCACTTGCAACAAAAAGAAACCTGACCACAATGCAATATTTCAAAAAATTTTTAGTTTTAATTTTTTTTAAGTTTATTTGTTTATTTTGAGAGAGAGAAAGGAGGGAGGGGGGAAGAGAGAGAGGAGAGGGAGAGAGACAGAGGGAGAGAGAGAGAGAGAGAGAGAGAGAGAGAGAATCCCAAGCAGGTTCCTCGCTGTCGGCACAGAGCCAGACACAGGGCTCACTCTCATGAACTGTGAGATTATGACTTGTGCCAAAGTCAAGAGTAAGAGGCTTAACTGACTGAGCCACCCAGACACCTCCCAAATTTTTAACTTTTTTTATGTTAGAGAGAGAGAGGGCATGTGTGTACATGCAAGCAGGGGAGGGGCAGAGGGAGGGAGACAGAATCTCAAGCAGACTCCAGCCAAATGCAGGGCTTGATCCCACAACCCTGGGATCATGACCTGAGCTAAAATCAAGAGACAGACACTCAACTGACTGAGCCACCCAGGCACCCCACAATACAATATTTCAATGGCATAGCTCGTTGTATCCACCTAAGTATTTTGCTGTGGCACCTGCTGGCAAATTTAAGCGCGTGGTGTTTCCTCCTCCCTACAGATTGAATTGTGTCCCCCAGAATTCATATGGAAGCCCTAAGCCCCAGTGTAATGGTATTTGGAGATGAGGCCTTTGGGAGACAACCAGGTTTAGATGAGGTCATGGAGGGGGGACATGGTTGGATCAGAGCCCTTGTAAGAGGAGACATCTGAGGGCTTGCTCTCTCTGCCATGTGCAAGAAGTCAGGAAGAGTCAGAACTGACCATACTGGCACCCTGATCTTGACTTCTACCCACCAGAATTATGAGAAGAATATTCCTACTGTTTAAACCACCCGGCCTATGGTATTTTGTTATGGCGACCCAGCTGACTAAGACACCTCTTGAGGTATGAATGTCAGAGCAGGATTCATCCTTCTCTGTCCTTTGCAAAGAGTGAGCTCTTATTACTTGACATTATTATTTATATATTTACTTCAGTATTAATATTAATACATTATTGATTTATTATTAATAAAATCCCCCCTTCCATCATCTCTTGTTGCATAACACCCTAAAACACAGTGATTGGAAACAAGGAAGATTTATGATTTCTTACGATGACTCCATTTTTATGGTTGGCTTGATGGGTCATCCAGACACGGCTGGGGCACCTCACTTCTCCTTTGTGTGACCTCTCCGTGGGACTACCTTGAGCTTCCTCACAGAACTATGGTCTCAAGCATTCCACAAGGATAAAAATGGAAGCTGCGAGGTCTCCCGGCACCCTCACCGCAGAAGCCACACAGCATCACTTCCACTACATTCCATTGGTCAAGGCAAGTCACTGGGCTGCCCAGACTGAAGGAAAGGGGAAACAGACTCTACCTCTAGAGGCTGGAAAAGTCTCATTGCCAAAGGCATGCAGGATGGGAAAAATCGTGGCCATCTTTGGAAGCCTCCCACCACTGCCTCAATTCAAAACTATCATTAGGGGCACCTGGCTGGCTCAGCGGGTCAAGCGCCCGACTCTCGACCTCAGCTCAGGTCTTGATCTCACGGTCATGAGTTCGAGCCCCGCATTGGGCTCCGCATTGGGTGTGAAGCCTAGTTAAAAACAAAACGAAACAAACAAACAAAACCACTAGAGCCTGGACCTCCAAACTGATGCGGTTGCTAGGAGAACACCTCAGCTGGCATGCTAGTTTCTCCAGAATGTAGGACCCACGTGAGTAAGCAGAGTCCTGCTGTCTACTGGCCTATACCAGACGGGACGTGCACAGCTACCGTTCTCTGGGAATTTGGAACTGGAAATAAGGTGTGTCTCTTTATTCGCTAACAAGCTGCTCCAGCACCAGCTGTTCAGCCATTCCCACATCTCACTACCTGTGTCTGAAGGACTTCTAAAATGAGATGAAGACAGGTCTTTCCATTAACACGGTTCCAACCTCAGCAGAAGGAAGAAAATTAAGTTCCTGTTGCCAGAACTCGGGCCTTCTAGATGTGGCTCGCTACAACTTTTTTTTTTTTACTGTATCGCTGACCTCTTAATGATTCTACCTTAAGCAAATTTAAACGTAATGTCATGGGGCGGGGGGTAAAGAAAAAGAGTGGTATCACTCGGACTTTGCTTTGTTTTGAATCAGCCTATGTTCTTACTTGTAAACGTGGCCAAGAATTAAAAGCACGGGCTCTGATAATCACACTGTCTGAGGTCATGTCTTACTGTGGCCACCACGAGCCGTGGGATTTTGGCAGGTATTGACCTCCCTGGACCTTAGAACACCTTGTGGGTAACATTACCGTGACTCACCTTGCTGTGAGCACTAATGGACCTGATGCTTCGAATACGCCTAGCAGAGTCCTGGCACGTATAATATTTATACATTGATAAATATTAGCTGGTGCTGAGTTTTTCATTCTCTTTGTCTTTCCCTCTTCTGCCTTTAAGAGAACCTGCGTTGTTTAACTCAACGGTTTCTCAGAGTTATTCGACCACAGAGCCCCCTTTTCTAGAAGTGACAGCATGAAAGAAAATATTTTGGGAAACAGGATGCAGATGGATATAGCAAAGTCCAAACCCGGCAGGTTAACAGCTTCTTCTTGCCTCTCTTGCTTGTCCTACAATCTTTTCCCTACATGTGTTATTGTGATCTTTTTTTTTTTTTTTTTTTAGATTTGATTTTTAAGTAATCTCCATATCCAACATGGGACCTGAACTCACAACCTGAGATCAAGAGTCACACGTTCTACCCACTGAGCCATCCGGGTGCCCCTATTGTGATCTTTCATAACTTTTAATTTTTATATAATTTCAAACTTACAGAAAAATTGTAAAATTAGTATGAAGATTTCCTATATGCCCTTTATCCAAATCCCCCAATTGTTCATCTATGTCTCTGTCTACCTACCTGCCTGTCCATCCATCCATCCCCATCCACCCACCCATCTACCCATCCATCCATGTATCTGTCTTCTTTCTGAACCACTTGAGAGGAAGCTGGAGACACCTTACCCCCTTATTCCTAAATACTTCGGTGTGTATTTCTGAGGAACGAGGACATTTCTGACATAAACAAGTAGTTCAGCTATCAAGTTACCACACTGATATTTTATTCTACACTTTTTAAAAAATGTAAGCTCTATACGCAACATGGGGTTTGAACTCATGGCCTCGAGATCAAGACTTGCATGCTTTACCGACTGAGCCAGCCAGGTGTCCCTCGTGTTGATCTTTTAAAACAATAAACTGGATCTTGTCATTTCCTTGATTAAAACTTTCCAATGACTTCTCGTTACACTTAACAATAAAATTAGAGCTCCTTCCTGTGGCCCACAGGTGTGGCACACCTCCACCTACGTTACAAGTTCCACCATGGTGGGTCTCTTATTGGTCAAGCTGGTTCCCACATCAGGGTCTTAGCACTTCTGCTCCACTTTTGCCCTACCAGTCCTTACATGGTTGGCTACTTCTTGTCATTGACCTCAGAGGGGTCTGAGCTGACCACGCCATGTAAAACAGGATCCCTCCATTCCCTAGCACTTTGCTTTGCTGTCATATGTCACCTTGTTTGCTTGTTTTTTTTTTTTTTTTCATGTTTACTCATTTTTGAGAGACAGAATCTGAGTGGGGGAGGGATAGAGAGGGAGGGAGACACAGAATCCGAAGCAGGCTCCAGGCTCCGAGCTGTCAGCACAGAGCCCGACGCGGGGCTCGAACTCACAAACTGGAAGATCGTCACCTGAGCCAAAGTCGGATGCGTAACTCACTGAGCCACCCAGGCGCCCCTCACCTTGTTTTGAAAGATGTTTTGTTTTGTTTTGTTTTGTTCATTTATTGATTTTGAGAGAGAGCGAGGAAGCAGGAGAGGGGCAGAGAGAGAATCCTAAGCAGCCTCTGCGCTGTGAGCAGAGTGGGGCTCTAGCTCACTAACTGTGAGATCATGACCTGAGCCGAAATCAAGAGTCAGATGCTTAACCGACTGAGCCACCCAGGCGCCCCATGTCACCTTGTTTTACATTTTTTAGACCACTTGTCGCCATTATCCTGTGTGTTCATTTCAGATTTCCTTGTTGATCGCTTGTCTTCCCCTAGACTAGCATGGACTTTCTCTGTTTTGTTCACTGCTATTTCCCAGGAATACTAGGTCTTTGAGAAACTGGCTGAGTGAACACAAGAACGAATACATAGCACATCACGGAATTCCAGACGGGGTCTGATCCTTCAGTGCAGGGGTCCCCACGGCATCAGAGCCCCACCTCTTATAGCACTGCAGCTCTTCCTGCACCAGCAGCAGCTGGGACTTGAGTTTGTTGCGCTCCTGGAGCACATCCCTTAGCTCCTGTAGAGTGAAGCGTGGCCGGTTGGGATCTGTCAGGTCAACCACCATTTTGTCTGGTCCCAGGTTTACCTGTAAGAAAAGATATCGGGTTGCTTATACAGTTTCCCTCATGCACTTGGACTGTTGGGGTCCCTGGGTGGCTCAGTCGGTTAAGCGTCCGACTTCAGCTCAGGCCATGATCTTGTGGTCCGTGGGTTCGAGCCCCACGTCAGGCTCTGTGCTGACAGGAGCCAGCTTCAGATTCTGTCTCCCTCTCTCTCTGCTCCGCCCCTGCTCGCGCTCTCTCTCTCTCTCTCTCTCTCTCAAAAAAATAAACATTAAAAACATTTTCTTAAAAAAAAGTAAAAAGATGGACTGTCCACCCCAGAAAGGAAAATTCTGTTTTGTTACTCCCAGGCACCCTATCGGATGAGACGCTGCCTGTTGGAAGTGTTTGGTTGATGGTAAAGAAGCAAAAGTTCTAAGTACCATTCTCCAAGTAAACAACCAAGGCTCCTTGGAGAATGGCTGATTTCAGGGTTGGAACAGGAAAACTATAAGATGAGCCTGGAACGTTTCCTTGTGGAAGGGAACAAAATGTCAAAATGACAGTTGGAAGGAGTTCCCCTTGGCCAGACTGAGAACAATTTGAGTATCAAAACGAGTAATAACAGGAATGGACAGTAACAGTTCACATAAAAAGAGAATTCAGGAGTTCATACTTAAAATTTAAATCAATTAACTAATTAATAGGGATGTGATGGCTAATTTTATGTGTCTAATTTTACTTGTCTGGGCTAAGGGATACCCAGAAAGCTGGTTAAACATTTCTGGGTGTGTCTGTGAAGGTGTTTCTGGAAGATATTAGCATTTGGTTTGATGAGCTGAGTAAAGCAGCTGGGGGGCGGGGCAGGCATCATCCAATCCACTGAGGGCCTGAGGGCCCACATGGAAGGAAAGGGGGAAAGAGGGTGAATTTGAGCTCCGTCAGTTGATACAGGACATCTCTTCTTCTCTTGTCCTCAGACATTGACACTCCTGGTTCTTGGGGTTTGGGATCCAGACCAGGATTTCCACCATCAGCCCCCCACCCCCAGTTCACAGGACTCACTGGTTCTCCAGCTTGCAACTTGTAGATTTTAAGTAAGATTTCTCAGCCTCCATAACCGCATGAGCCAATTCCTCAAATAACTATCCTCTTTATATTGAGAGCTATTTCTCCTATTGGTTCTGTGTCTCTGGAGAGATCTGATGAGTACAGGAGAGGAGGAGGGGAATTTGTATCTTACAGCAGAAGGCCAAGTAATAAGTGCAGAAGATGACAGAGTTTAAAAAAAATATATCCATTTGCAACCAACTTAGTAATAATTGATTCAGGCAAGACTAAGGAATGGATCTAAAACTTTAGGGTGAAAATCTGTTGGGGAATAGAATATTTTGCAGTTTCAAAGCATCTTCCTACAACAACTTACGAATTACAAAGGGAATAAAGGCACCTTTACAGTGCAGAAATCTCGCAGACACCACGTTAACCAAGTGATGCAAGGTAACATCACCAATAATCACAAACTGAAGCAGGTGCCTCCTGATACATCGCACTGAGAAGGACACAGCATCTCTTCAGTGGTATTCCTGCTAAACTGCGTATCTTGAATCTAACGATGACGATGGCACATCAAAACAAACCTAAATTGAAGGACGTTCTACAAACAAACTGATATATAATCTTCAAAGATGTCAAGGTTGTAAAACACAAGGAAAAGCTGAGGAACTCTTCAAGATTAAAGAAATGTGTCAACTAAAGGTACTATGTAACCCTGGACTAGATTCTGCACCAGAAAGAAGATGCTGTAAAGGGCATTATCATGAATTTTGAATAGGGATAGTATATTAGATCTTAGTATTCTATGACCTTTTTCCCCTGAATTTAATCATTTACTGTCACGATGCAATAGTGCGTCTTGTGAGATTTTAGGGTAAAGGGTCCTAATCTTCTACTAATCCTGCAACTAACATAATGTCTGCTCAAATAGTTGAGAAAAACTGTGAGTGAATAAATAATATATATAAATATTACTTTTGTATATGCATATATACATATACATATATGTGTTTTGTGTGTGTATATACTTTGATGTATATTTTCTTCTTCTGTTGTTGTTATTTTTTTTTTTTTTTTTGAGAGAGAGTGTGAGCCAGGGAGAGGGGCAGAGCTGAAGAGAGAGAGAATCCTAAGTAGGCTCCACACTCAGCACAGAGCCTGAAGCGGGGCTCAATCCCACAACCCTGGGATCATGCCCTGAGCTGAAATCAAGAGCTGGACACTCAACCAACTGAGTCACCCAGGAGCCCCTATATCTACTTCTTTATCAAATAAGGTGATCTAGGGGCACCTGGGTGACTCAGTCGGTTAAGCATTGACTCTTGATTTTTGGCTCAGGTCATGATCTCATGGTTCGTGAGTTCAAGACCCATGTCAGGCTCTGTGGTGACAGACAGTGTGGAGAATGCTTGGGATTCTGTCCCTCTCTCTCTGTCCCTCCCCCACTTGCTCCTGAGATCTCTCTCAAAATAAATAAACTTAAAAAAAAAATAAGGTGATCTAGAGGCAGGTCTAGTAAAATACTGAACAAAAACAAAGCTTTAAGATGGGAACTATATTGTTACAGGACTTGAAAATATCTGCGGTTTCCACTGGTGACTGCCACAGGTACTGCTATTATTACTGTGGTTTGTCGTCTATATTTGCAACTGAGGAAAATGACACATTTCAGGTGGAGGTTAATGAAAATGAAAATATAATTTTTTCCCATGCCAGGGCATGGACCTCTTGGGTTAGAATCACGATTCCTTTGGGCATCTAAGAACTTTGAGTTAAGAACCCTCAGGCTGAATAATTGATATTGTACAATGGAAGTTTTCAAAGCCATTAAAAGATGAAGAACCTCTTCATCCTGATTTAACTCAACTTTCATGCTATGTTAAGTGAAAATACACAAAAGGCAGAGCTGGGTATATATTATAATACCATTTGTATAAAAAAGACAAAAAATATTTTCATATCCGCTTTTGTTTGCATAAAGTACCTCTGGAAGGACACACAAGAAACTGATCATTTTAATTTTTTCCAGGGAGGGTAAGTGGTTGGCTGGGGGTGGAGAGAATTGGGGAGGAAAAGTTTTCAAGGCGAACACTTTTGTTACCTTTTGAACTTTGAACTTCCATTTATTTTATTTATTTATTTTGAGAAAGAGAGAGAGAACAGGGGAGGGGCAGAGAGAGAAGGAGAGAGAGAGAACTCTAAGCAGGTTCCGTGCTGTCAGCACATGACAGCATGTAGCCTGAAGCGGGGTTTGAGCCCCTGAACTGTGAGATCATGACCTGAGCCAAAACCAAGTGCTGGACGCTTAACTGACTGAGCCGCCCAGGCACCCCTAAACTTAAAGTTTTAAAAGGGAAAGGAAAAAACTACCTCGCACCCATTAGGGTGGCTATTGTAAACAAACAAAACAGAAAAGAACAAGTATTGAAAGGAGATGGAATTCTTGTGTACTGCTGTTGGGAATGTAAAATGGTACAGTCACTATGGAAAACCATATGGCAGATCCTTAAAAAATTAAAAACAGAATTATCCCATGATCCAGCAATTACACTTCTTTTAAAAAAATTTTTTAATGTCTATTTATTTTTGAGAGAGACAGAGACAGAGAGACAGAGTGTGAATGGGGGAAGGCAGAGAGAGAAGGAGGCACAGAATCTGAAGCAGGCTCCAGGCTCCAAGCTGTCAGCGCAGAACCCAACGTGGGGCTCGAACTCATAAACCGTGAGATCATGACCTGAGCCTAAGTCAGACACAACAGAATGAGCCACCCAGGTACCCATATACTTTTTTTTTTTAATGTTTATATATTTGCTTTTGAGAGACAGAGGGAACGAGAGAGCAAGAGACCTCAAGCACAGGAGCGGGGGAGGGGCAGAGAGAGAGGGAGGCAGAATCCGAAGCAGGCTCCAGGCTCTGAGCCGTCTGCGCAGAGCCTGACGCGGGGCTCAAACTCATGAACCGTGAGATCATGACCTGAGCCGAAGTCGGACACTCAACCGACTGAGCTGGGTCCCCCCAGCAATTCCACTTCTAATTATATACCCAAAGCAGTGAAAGCAGGGGCTTGAAGAGATATTTATACATCCACGTTCATAGCAGCATTATTCACCCTAGCCAAAAAGTAGAAGCAAACCAGGCATCCACCAACAGATGCACGGACAAACAAAATATGGTATCTCCACACAACAGACTATTACTCAGCTGTTAAAAGGTGGGGAGTTCTGACACCTGCTATACCATGGATGACCCTTGAAGACACTGTGCTCAGTGAAATAAGCCAGTGACAAAAGGAAACACATATTATTCTCTTATGTGTAGTAGCTGGAATAGGCAAATTCACAGAGATAGAAAATAGACACGGGGAGGGGGGAATAAGGAGCTGGTGTTTCACAGAGACAGAGTTTGTTTTGTGAGATGAAAAGAATTCTGCAAGGACAGTGGTGATGGTTACACAACAGCGTGAATATACTTCAATGCCACTTCACTGTGCACTTAGAAATGGTTAGGATGGCAAATTTCATGTGTACTTTACCACAGTTAAAAGAAAAAGAGGAAGAAGATGTATTTTTATGAACTGCCTAGTGGCGCTAAACATTCATTCTCTCTGCCCCTTTCCCCACTTCTGGGCTTAGGGTTTAAGGTTTGGGAGGAACATGCCATCTCATCTGCTGCCTGATAAAGCTTGTCCGCTGTGCCCACTACAGAAAATCACCCGGCCCCTGGGCAGAGCCCACTGTACACGGTCCGTGTGGGGCTCCCTCCATATCCTCGTTCCTGGAATCGGAGGTGACGGGAATGAGCTCAGAATGTGAGCTGAGCCATCCTGAGCAAGACGTTTAACTTCTCTCGAGTCTTCAAAGCCAGGCTATGAATGGTACTCATGATACTCAGCCACCTTATATGACGGACACTAAAGCAGAAATGTATCCGCAAACACTGTTGTCACTCTGACACGTGAGTAGGTGAAATAAAAGTTTGCCAGAGAAGTGACCAGAAACTTTCACTCTTTTTTCCCCCCGCGAATGTCAGCGCCCTGTTCCTGTTGTCCTTTCCCGGCACACTTCTTGGTTTGTGATTCGGGAGGTGTGGGTGTCTTAGCTCTCCCACTCGATGTGAGCTCTGGGAGGGAAGGCTCCTGTCTAATTTACCTCTGCAGCCCCAGGATCCAGCTCTATGAAGTTGCTCATCAAATGTCATTCCAGCAAATGAGGTCAAATGTCTGCATTTAGTGTGCAGAGGTTGAGACTAGCATCTCTGAGCTCAAACCCTGCCTTCATCTCTTACTCCGAGAAAGTCACCTGGCAAATCACTTAACTATTCTATGCCTCCATTTCTATAAAATGGATATGCTGATAGTAAGAGGATTAAGTGAGATGTCCACTTAGAACAGTTTTGTTTTTTTTCAGTTGTGGCTGGAGACCACTAGTAATTCATGGTCTTAATTCAATCAATTGCAACAAGAATTTTAAAACTCATAAAAATAGGGGCGCCTGGGTGGCTCAGTTGGTTGAGCGACCAACTCTTGATTTGGGCTCAGGTCATAATCTCAGGGTCATGGGAGCAAGCCCTTCATCAGGCTCCAATACTGAGCATGGAGCCTGCTGAAGATTCTCTCTCTTTCATGGGGCACCAGCGTGGCTCAGTCTGTTAAGGGTCCAACCTACCCTTGACTTCAGCTCAGGTCGTGATCTCGTGGTTATTGAGTTTGAGCCCTGTGTTGGGCTCTGTGCTGACAGTGCAGAGCCTATTTGCGATTCTCTCTCTCTCCCTCTCTCTCTCCCTCCCCTGCTCTCTCTCTCCCTCAAAATAAATAAATAAACATTTTTTAAAAAAAGATTCTATCTCTGTCCCCTCCCCTGCTCACGCTCTCTCTCACTGTAAAATAAAAAAATACTCCGGGGCACCTGGGTAGCTCAGTCGGTCGAGCGTCTGACTTTGGCTCAGGTCACGATCTCATGCTTTGTGAGTTCGAGCCCCTGATTGGGCTCTGTGCTGACAGCTCAGAGCCTGGAGCCTGCTTCAGATTCTGTGTCTTCCTCTCTCTCTGTCCCTTCCCCGCTCTTGCTCTTTCTCTCTCTCAAAAATAAGTAAGGATTAAAGAAAAAAATTTTTAAATAATAGTTTAAAAAACTCATAAAAATAGAACAGGCAAGTGTGATTGTGCATCATGTTTAATAAGGGTGAGTTAGGGTAAATTGTTTCTTGAAACTTCTGTTTCATCAATATTGGATAGTGATATAATAGGTAATTCTGTAAAATAGAGGTATAACACACATGCACTAATCTTGAGTTTATAGCTGGATGATTTTTTTTAAAAACTTATTTATTTTAAGTAATCTCTACCCCCAAGTGGGGCCTGAACTCATGACCTCTGAGAACGAGAGTCACACGCTCCTCTGACAGCTAGCCAGGTGCCCCTAGCTCGATAATTATTAACATAGGTATACACCCATGTGACCACACCCAGATGAGCTCCCCATGAACCTTCCCCCTGCTCTCCCCTCCCTGGGGTTACCACCAATCTGTCTTCTGTAAAAACAGGTTATTTTGCCTGTGCTGCAGTTTCACGTAAATACACAGTAGATTCTCTTTTATGCCGGTCTCCTGTCTCCCTGTGTAACACCACTGAGAGTCATGCCCACAGCTGCTCTTTTCCCCTGCTGTGTAGTATTCCACAGCGACTATACCACAATTTAAAAATCCATTCTTCTGTAGCATTTGCTCCAGCTCGGCACACTCCTGAAGAAAAGTGCTCTGAACATTCTTGTAGGTGTCTTTTGGTGGCCTCGGCACTGATTTCTCTCCCTTAGAATTTATTTCTTACTAGAGGTCGAGATTCTCAAAATGTGATGGAATCTGTTAGAAATGCAGATTTCCAGGCCCCCTCTGGAATCTAAAACTCTGGGGCTAGGGCCCAGTGATGTGTGTTTTAATGAACACCCCAGACGATTCCGCGGCACGCTAAAGCAGGAGAGCCACCGCTCTAGGTCACTTCAAAAATATTGGGAGGCCCTGATGCAGAACAAACTCGGCACAGGGCCCAGCACCTAGTAAGTGCTCAATAAATGTAGCTATCACAATGCTTCTAATCTGAGGATTGGACAGGCGCTGTGGTTGTTTTCAGGGGCTCGGGGACCCTGGGTACTCTCCTCCCACGCCCTGCAGCCCGCACTCACCTCCCTGCCGGCCGCTGAGCCCTCTGTCCGCAGTCCCTCCACCTCCTTCTTGAGGCTGTCCCTCTCCATTCTCAGCTCCTCCACGGTCAGGTTGCCCTCATTCACCAGCGTCTCCAGCATCTCCAGCACGCGGACGATCTTGAACTGCAGCTGTGTCACCCGGGGGTCGCTGCCCAGGGCCATCAGCTCGCGGCCCATCACATAGGAGATATCATACACGTCCTCGGCGGTCAACTGGAAGGGGCTCTTGCCCAAAGCCCCCTCGGGCCCAGCCTCGTCTCCTTCTTCCTCCTCTTCTTCCCCCTCCTCCTCTTCCCCCTCCTCCTCTTCCTCCTCTCGCAAAGGGGGCTCCTCCATGGCCGCCCAGAACCCTGCAGCCACGAGAGCTGCTTTCTCACAATCTCCAAAAGTCTAACTTCCTCCCGGCGCAGAAAACTTTCCGCAGGCTGAGACCCTGCCTGCCCGGGGACGGAGGGTGGCCCAGGAGCGGCCAATCAGCGCGGCCGAGGGGTGGGCCCGGGACAGAGAGGCCGAGCGCTACGGCTCCCGGGCCCGGACGCCTGGTGCACCGGCCCCGCTGAGGACCGTGCAGGAGGGCGGCCTCCAGGATGTGGTTTGGGGCACGAAAAGACGACAGAAAGGGAGGGCAGCCGAGAAGAGGAACGCAGAGGTTAAGGGTGACCGCGATTTCTCCTGGCTGGGAGGGGTTGCAAACCGGGGAGGGGGAGGGGCCTCCGCCTGAGCCCCGCCCCCGGTGACGGCCGCCACCGCCGCCGGGTTTCTATGGAGACGCAGCGGAGTTTCCACAGCGAGTCTGGAAAAGAAAGGTGAAAAGCCCACAACTTTTTCTTCTGTGCTCACGTCTTTCCAGCCATAGAATTTGCATTGTACGTGGAGGAATATCCGGGTCTCTGTGGGGTTGGGGGGTGGGGGGTGGGGGATACTTTCGGAAGCCCACGGCAAAACAGAGGACTGCTGTTGGCGGCTGCGCGCGGGAGTCGGGAGGCCCGGGTCGCGCACAACTCCCGGGTCGGTTGTCACCAGGACCTGTGTGTGGCATCTGACTCTCAATAAAATGGAGAATCCCTGCGCTGTGCACTTGGCCGATTCCTGGGCTCCTCCCCTTAGGCAGCGTTGCAGGCTTGGCAGATTACTTAACCCTCAGCTTCCTGCTCGGGGAGTAAGAGCACTCACGTGGTGAGGTTGCTGCAGGAACATACGAGGTGAGGTCATGAGATACTGCATGTGACAAAAGTACTTCGGAAGTACGCAGAAAGTGTTCTCCAACAAACCCCAGTTGTGTGAGAGACACGTGGCACGTGGGCTGGGGTGTTAGGAGTAATAAACAAGACAAAAATCACTGCTTTGAAAATTAGAAAGCATTCTACAGTTAGGGTATTAGTAAGAATATTAGCAGTGTGGATTACAAAACGAGTTCTTTTAGGTTTGATTAGGAATTTGTAATAGTCATAGGCAGAAAACTCTGCAATGGTGCTGGTCTTTCCCGGGAATATATTGCTACCTTTCTTTGGGGGTAGATGTACCTGATTTTCTCCACACTGAGGTTCTACCATCACAATGGTGAGTGGCCACGGATAAAACAAGCAAAGAGCAAAGCAGGCAAACAGAAAAGACACTATTTTCAGGGTACAGTGTTCTAAAGATTGGAGCCAGGCCCCTGGGCAAGGACTCAGTAATCCATAAATCACAGACGTGACAACGCCCAGTGATTAAATAAGGAGATAAAACGTTAGACTTGCCATAAATAAAATATGGTATATCCAAACAATGGAATATTACTCCACCATAAAAAGGAATGAAGGATTAGAACAGAGTGCCCAGAAATAAACCCTAGCAAATATGGTCCAATAATTTTCAACAAGGGTGCTAAGACCATTCTTGGGCGGGGGGTGGGGTGGGGGCGGAGGACAGTCTTTTCAACAAATGTTGTTGGAAAAATTGGATACCTACATGCAAAAGTATAAAGGTGGACCCTTGCCTTACACCATATATAAAAATTAACTCAAAATAGATACAAAAGACAAAGCTATAAACCTCTTAGAAGAAAACATAGGGGAAAAGCTTTATGTCACTGGATTTAGCAACGATTTCTTCAAAAGCACAGGCAATGAAAGAATAAATACATAAACAGGACTACATCAACACTTAAAACTTGTGCATTCAGGGTGCCTGGGTGGTTCAGTAGGTTGAACATCTGACCTCAGGTCAGGTCACGATCTCAGGGTTCGTGGGTTCGAGCCCCGCATGGTGCCCAGTTCTGATCCTCTGTCTCCCCCTCTCTCTCTGCCCCTCCCCTGCTCACACTCTGTCTTTGAAAGTTAAAAGAAAAAAAAACAGGGGCACCTGGGTGGCTCAGTCAGTTAAGCTTCCAACTTCGGCTCAGGTCACGATCTCACGGTCCATGAGTTTGAGCCCCACGACAGGCTAACAGTTCAGAGCCTGTAGCTGCTTCGACTTGTGTTCCTCCTCTTCTCCCCCTCACTACTCTTCTTCCTCTCTCAAAAATAAAAACCAAATAAATAAAAAAAAAAACATTAAAAAAACATCTTGTGCATCCAAAAATATATAAAAATAAGAAAATAAAACTTGTGAAACTTGTGTCCAAGACCACAATTAACAGTGTAAAAGCAGCCTACAGAATGCGTGAATATATCTGCAAGTCAAATCCGATAAGGGGTTATTAGGGGTTATTATCCAGATTAAAAAAAGAACTCCTACTATGCAATAATAAAAAAACCTAGGGGCACTTGGGTGGCTCAGTCGGTTAAATGTCGCTGTCTTGATTTAGGCTCAGGTCATGGAGCCTACTTTTTTTTTAGTTTATTTATTTATTTTGAGACAGAGAGAGAGAGAGAGAGAGAGACAGAGAGAGAGATCACGTGAGTGTGAGTGGGGGAAGGGCAGAGAGAAAGGAAAGAGAGAATCCCAGGTAGGTCTGATGCCAAGCAGAGCCCTCAATGAGGACTGGATCTCACAAACCGAACTGTGAGATCATGACCTGAGTTGAAACCAAGAGTTGGACACTTAACCGACTGAGCCACCCAGGCACCCCTGGAGCCTACTTAAAAACAAACAAAAAACAAAAAAAATCTAGATAAAACATGGGTAAAGTAAAAATAGATGTAAAATATTTAGCACGATATTAGCAAACAGAATTCAGCACTACATAAAAATTATTATACACCATGATTAAGCAGGGTTTATTCCAGGGATGCAAGGCTGGTTCAGAAAAGATAATCTATGTCATCCACCATAGTAACAGGCTAAAGATTACACACACACACACACACACACACACACACACACAACTATTAGAGCTAATAAACAGCTCAAGGTTCCAAGATACAAGATCCATATACAAAAACCAATTGCATTTCTATATACTTGCAAGGAATAATCTGAAAATAAAATTTAGAAAACAATTCCACTTAACAGTGGCATCAAAAAGAATAAAATATTTAAAAATAAATTTAACAAATGAAGAAGATGACCTGCACACTGAAAACTACAAAATCTCATTGAGAGGAATTAAGATGTAAATAAATGGAAAGACATCACGTGTTATAAATTATAACAAGATGGTTAAGATGGCAATATTCTCCATCTTACATTTCCAACTGATCTCCAGAATCAGCATAATCCCTATCGAAATTTGTGCGAAAACAGTTAACATAGCAGGCCCGGGAATGCTCTCATTGCAAAATCCTGCTTTCAAGCTTGGCCTTAGCTAGGATCTGGGAACTTGTGTTTGGGGAGGGTTCCCACCACCCCATCTGAAAAGAGTAGCTCAGTGTTCCTTAATTGTTCATGCAAACAGCATAGTTCACTGGCTTCCTCCTGGGAGTCTGGAATTTTGGTATGTGCTAGGCAGAAGGTACCTGCATGACGAGCCCCCTTAAGAACTTCTGGCACAGTCTCTAAATGAGCTTCTCTCACAGACAACGTTTCACATATGTCATAACTCATTACTGGGAAGTTACACCAAGTCAAGCCAGTCACAAAAGACCTCCTATTGTATGATTCCGTTTGTGTGAAATGTCAAGAGGCAAATCCAGAGAGACAGAGCACCTACTATGTGCAAAGTCTATAGTGTCGTGGTCAACTGGGCTCTGGAGTTGAGCAGTATGACTTGAACCTCACAACTGCCACTTGCCGGTACGTAAGTTTGATCAAGTTCCCCAATCTCTCCAAATCCACATGTCTTCACTGGAAACTGGAAAAAATAAAAGTATTCCCCAAGACTGGCATGAAGGTTTGATGACATAATGCATGAGAAGTGCCTAGTCCAGGGTCTAGCACATCATAAGCATCAATGGATGTTGGCTATTATTGGCTATTATTATAAAGCGTTAATGATCTCAACTCTTAGATCCCTCATAGAATTCAACAGTCTCAACCCTTCTCTCTCCACTGGGAAATTATGAAAACAGTTATGAGTTACAACAGCGGTTCTTAAAGTGTTCTCCCCAGACCACCAGCAATGGGGTGCATGGAAACTTCTCAGCAATGCAAATTCTTGACCCACTGAATCAGAAACTTGGGGAATAGGCCCTAGCAATCTGTGTTTCCACAGCCCTCTAGATAATTCTAATGCATGCTCAAGTTTGAAAAACAATAAATGATAGCACAGTGTTCAAAAGGGTGGGTTCTAGACCAGACCACAAGTATTCAGATATTGAACACTTGAATCTGCCACTGGCAAGCTGTGTGATGTTAGGTAAGTAAATCCTGCCTCTACTCTGGGGCTTAGTTTTCCCATCTGTAATATGGGGATAAGGATAAAATCTAGTTTGTGGGGCTCCTGGGTGGCTCTGTCTGGGTGGCAGCCTGGAGCCTGCTTTGGATTCTGTGTCTCCCTCTCTCTCTCTCTGTCCCTCCCATGCTCATGCGTGCTCTCTCTCTCTCTCTTTCATAAATAAATAAATAAACAAACATTTAAAAAATCTAGTACATAAGACTGTTGTGAAGTGCTTTAGAACAGTGACTGGCACATAGTAAGTGCTCAGTAGATGTCAGCTATTATCATAAGCTAGTTACCACTCAAATATGAAACATAAGAAATTTCCCAAGTTCATATAATTATTGGGGAACGAGATATGGAAAGTTGGATTAGTAACACATGTAGAACATGTTTACAACAAAGTTTTTTATTTTTTTTTTTTTATTTTTTTTATTTTTCAACGTTTATTTATTTTTGGGACAGAGAGAGACAGAGCATGAACGGGGGAGGGGCAGAGAGAGAGGGAGACACAGAATCGGAAACAGGCTCCAGGCTCCGAGCCATCAGCCCAGAGCCTGACGCGGGGCTCGAACTCACGGACCGCGAGATCGTGACCTGGCTGAAGTCGGACGCTTAACCGACTGCGCCACCCAGGCGCCCCTACAACAAAGTTTTTTAAAGTCACAGGGGTGCCTGGGTGGCTCAGTCGGTTAATCCTCTGACTCAACTTGGGCTCAGGTCATGAGCTCACAGTTTGTGAGTTTGAGCCCCACATCAGGCTCTGTGCTGACAGCATGGAGCCTGCTTAGGAGTCTCTCTCTCTCTTTCTCTCTCTCTCTCTTTGCCTCTCCCCTGTTCTCTCTCTTTCTGTCTCTCAAATAAATAAACTTAAAAAAAGTCACAAGGATATATCATTATAC